CCTAAAAAAAAAATCTTAAATAAAATTTTTGTTTAAACTTTTGTTGGCTTGTTTTATTTATAAAATATTCATATTGAAACTTATTATATCAATATTTCCGTTATTGTTTTAATATTTATATATGCTCTTACTTTATAAGCAGATATAAATTGAGGAGCTTAGCCACATTCCCACATTAGGAAATTTTCGAGAAAAAGAGGATTTATATTTCGATTCATCAGCATTTTAATGTACAGACTTTATTAATATGGTAGTTTTAATATTACCGTATTAATACAACCTACAGGATATGCAATTGAAACGTGAAAGTTTCTTAGAAGATGGATCGATGATGCACAAATCCAAATTTGTTAGTAATTCATTTTTTTGTACTTTGTGGGAAATGCCGGTTTTTTCATTAAGCCCCTCAATTTATACCTGCTTAATCTATAAAATTTTATCAAAATATCTGAAATTTCACCATCTGTTACTTATTTCAAGGATAAAATTCGACACAGATAGACAAATGACACGTGTTTAGAAAGTTTTGATAAAAATCCATAAAATATTCTTTGTCTAATATTCTGAGAAAAATAATATTTGTTCTTTGCTTTAAAAATTTTTAAGCGTCGTTTAATATATTACTGTGTAAAGTAGTGTGAATTAACGCTATTAAGATCGCTAAATTAGCCACTACATGCAAATTCTGGAATACGGTATAAATTTTACTGTTTATTTTTTGCTATTGTATTAAATTTTAATGAAACATTTCAAAAAATACAACTGAAATAATTATTGCGGTTGTTATTGTTAGCAGTCAAAAGTCATCAAAGCCTAATTTTTGTGGGCTATAATGGCTAACTTCCATTTAGAAATCCGATTACTAACATCAAATTTCTAAATGGAACTGTTCGATTACTAACATCAGAAAATATGCGAAAAAGCCATTTAATACATGTGCAGATTTCTTCTGAAATATGCACACAAAATACATATAGGGCTACATCAAGAAGTGAATTTAATTGAAATAAGTGCTTATTAATTATAAAACACTTATACCTTAAATTCTAAAACAATATTTATTACTTACATATATATAATTTATGATTAATTGTAATATTTATAACCAACTTTTTGATAAAAACTAATGAAAACATTCTTAAAATTTCTGGTAATTAATTTTTTTCAAGTTAAAAAAAAAACAATAAATTTACAAGTCAGAACTTATTATAACAATTAAGGTTTAACTTTAAATATTTTTCAAAATTTTCTAGTAAAAATCAATGAACGTATAGATTTCTGTAAGAAAATCCAGCAACGAGTTGCTTAACTTTCCCGGCAATATTTGGAGGCGCCATGTGTTATGATATTTTATTTTTAAAAACTTTTTATATTTTTAACTATAGGTTCCGCTTCTAAAACTAAAACTGTTGGAACTGATCCGAGTGCGGAACTGTTAAGCTAGACAGTTCCGTTGGAACAGTTTGACTAGACCAGGTGTAGCGAGCTTACCCAAAGTGAAAGGTCGGAAAAATCATCTGGCATGTAACGTAACATGCGATTTCGGTTTATCACTTTTCATATTCGATCATTTTTTTTCCAATCAGGTTCTTTACATTTATTCTTACTTGTTAGTAAAGCATTTCGTTACATTTCTTTGAATATCGTTAATCGAAGTCTAAAACTTCGACACGCATAAAAATTTTTAAAGATAAGCATGTTGCTATATGGCACGTGGATTCAAAAAAATTCGTCATTCCTAGACTGGACGGTTCCGTCGGAACAGTTATACCAGACGGTCCCTCGGAATCATTATGTAACGTCGAAATTGCTTAGTCTGTTGAACTAGACGGTCCTTCGTCGGCTTTATTTAGGATATAAAATGTTTGTCTCTCTATTCTTTGTTTTTTTTTTGCTCGCTCTGCTCCAAATTATTTTTTTTAAATTGAAATATGAGGAAAATATAGACTACCACGAAACCTGGACTCCTTACTCCTCCCCTGTTTCATTATTTCAAGTTCAAATGCAAATAAAGAATTCACCGTTCGTGGAAAGCCATATTCGTAAAAGTACAAAATAAAGAACGCGTTAAAAGGTAGTTCCGACCAGAACTGTCTCCACACTCGATGTGAAATCACTTCTATTTTTAACTATTATAAAATGGCAAAAAGCTTTATTTCGAGGCTAGGAATGAGTTTTATAGAAAATTGTAAATACTAATAACGAGTAAAATCGTCATTAATTAAGTCCGACCATACTGGAGATACACACGATCCCCTTTATCTCCCCATCCCTCGATTTTTAACTACCAAAATTTAATGGCATCAATCCCGCTAATAAACAAACCTCCTTGCAAAATTTCAGAAATTTTCGACAAAAAGCACAGGAGTTATTAAACTTCAAACAGGGTGAACAAAATCGTGCCCCCCACACACTAATATTTATATATACAAAATAAACCCCTGAATTTTTTACATTTTTCGACGTTTCAAGGCCCCCTAAGTCCAGAAATGTAAAAATCTTAGGGAGTCGTTTTTGACCGTTCGCCATACTTTCCCTCTGTTATATATAACTGCCGGAAAAAATAAAAATTGAAAAAATTCTCAACATCTACAAATGTAATTGGTGCATTTATGTGAGATTTATATCTAAATCAGCTTTAGTTTTCCTTGAAGAACTTTTGCAACCTTAATGTTAAGTACCCGTATTTATTCTTATAGAAAACCTTTACATTATAGCAGCATCCATTTCACCTTCAATCCTATTCCAAGATTCTTCAATTATTTATTACAAATTGGATAGATTCTAAAATTGGCATTCATGTGTTTCTACTTTTTAAGATTGTTTAAAAATAAATATAATTGTTGTTCACTGCCTGTTTAATTTCTGTAATGACTTCTTTGTAACAAGACTCTACGTATCTTTTCCTAACATACTTTAATGGAGACACAATATTCTTTAATCTTTTATTATTTAATTTACTCAATGGTATATTTGTAAAACAAAAGTGCGTTGAGCTTACATAAATCATTAAGCTTTTCTTGTTTAATTTCTTTTTTGCTTTCTTCACGCTGTCACTAGGCACCGATTGTTGCAAAGTAAAAGCCAGTTTCAGTTTTTCACATTTTCCTATAAGCAAAGGAATATGCAAATTTTTAAGGTATTTTTTCCCAGAACTCCTATTGTAATAATTTATAATGTAACAGTAACAAGAAATTTATTACCAAGAAAAAGAATAACTACTGCTTTACTGTAAGCCCGACAAAATATTTTATCTCATCGAAAACTAATTTAGAATATGGTTTTATCTATGCGTTTATTGTAAGCATAATTTTTAATTAATTGCATGTAAAAGATGTTTACTAGAAACACACGATACTTTTTCTTTGTATTATCTGAACAATTCAAGATGCAATCAATTACTGAGGCAAAGCCAAAATCAAAACAAAAGCACTTGATACTTGTTACAAAGTAAATTGATTCATTTTTCTCAATATATTTACAAAATAAAAACTTTATACGAGAAATATTTGGAAAAAAGAATAGACGATTCTTTAACAAAGATTTTTCTCGAATAAATAAATACTTAACAACATTTCAAGTTCTAAGGGTTATGTATACCAGCGCCCGCTCAAGCATTTATGTCACATCGGACAAAAAGACAAATTGCCGCTCCTTAAATTTATTTAGAGAGAAACATATAATACAAAATTAACAATCAAGCAGTACAAAACAGTAAAAGTTAAATTATACTTGTACTTAGTTACAAATTGTTAAGTAGATGCATTTTTAATGATATTACAAAAACGTATTATTGTGCAATCAAACAAAAAACTTATATCCTATAAAAACTAAACAAAAGTACATCAACTATACTAAAATCAAAACCTTTTTTATTAACTCTTTTAAGTTTACTTGATCGGCACTTACGTGCGCAATCGCCAAAATGGCCAAACTGTTAAGATGATTTTGCATGGTAGTGGAACGTAAAAAGTTTTTAATTAATTTTTATTTAGAGAAACTCCTTTTCCCCACTAGCTACCGTTATTGGTATGATCGGCAGGTTTGGTGACAGTAAGGTTTGGGACAAAATTTAACATTGATGCTTATGCTTTCCTTTTTGCCCAAAAGCCTTCTTTTATGGTTGTTTTCTTCAGAATTAAGGAATGCAAATACAGTCGACCCTCCTATAACACTGTTGATTATTCCGTTTTATATGAATTCCATGTTGTACGAATCACTTAAATTTTACAAATACAGTAATACCCCGAACTTACGCGATATGTGGGACCGAGCGATAACCGCGTAAGTCGAATTCGCGTAAGTCGGGGTATAATTTCGCAATTTGTGTAAAATCCAAATCAGATGTATGTAAGCTAATAAATGTTCTCGTTAATCTTATCTCGTCTTTTGATTCGTTTACGGTTACAAGAAATCACCACATATTGTCTCTTGAGTCTCCGTAGATATAACAAAGACAGAAAAAAATAACTCAAAATAAATTGTAGCTATGTGTCGATTCCGCGCGACACGTCCGAACATGTAAGTTGAACAATAGTGTGGGGGGAGTGAGTAATCAAAAGCTGCGTGGCGCTCAAACAAAAGATGAATCGACGAGATTTGAAAATCGCGTAACTCCGGGTTCGCGTAAGTCGGAGTAGCGTAAGTCGAGGTATTACTGTACAAGGTACGTGTATCGGGCTGTGAACGTTCACGTATTTGTCCGAGTTCTCCGCCCCTAGAGCGGGCCCTGTGTATACAGTACTTGTATAATCCTTAAAACAGTATGTTGTTACATATTTGAATATTTAAATTGTTTTTAAAAGATTAGAGACAATCGGGTTTCTAGACTTTTAAAATTTATTCCTAATATGTGCGAGAAATATACAGATATAGGCTAAATTTTTTCTTAAAATATGTCAAAAGATTCGATGTATGCAAATTACGCAAACGACACCTACGTTCGTAGAAACGCCTATTTTCATTTTTTCAATAAAAAATTATATTTGCAAAATTTGTCATTGAAATAATTCTTAATTAAAATAAAAAATATATGTACTTAGCAGGAAAACGGAACATTTCCTTAAATAACATGCTTGAAGTTGAATTAGGACAATTCTAATATTATTAACTTTTTGTTATTCTCATTAATTTTTGTATCACTTATAAATCTTATATTTTTCCTTTTCTAATTTAACAAATCGAATGCTTTTTTTTTTTTTTTTTCATTTTCTTTATAATTACGAGAGGTTTGCAGTTTCAATTTTATTTTCATTTTTACGTTAAAATCTGATACTTTAAACGTAGAAAATAATAGATCTATATTAATTTCTTATACAGTATAAAAAATAAATAAATNTGCAGACGTAAAAGATCTCTATTTACCATAAAGAAAAACGAGAAAAAATTTCAAAAATATTCTGAAAGTTTAAAATAATGGAACTTCTCATTCTCATTGCGTTAACACATATGGTTCTTATGAATGTTTCTGTGATTTTGATTTCATTAAACAGACGGGTGATTGTATTCGTAAGTGGTTAATATTTATGTGAAAATCTTGACTTTAATTATATATTCTAAAATCATGTATAATTTTATTTAGCTATAGTGACTCGTAAAGAAAATCCTTGCCATAATGGTGCTTTTTGTTATGATAGAAGTGATGGATTTGAATGGCACTGTAAACTCGACATTGGTAAGGACATATTGAATTATTATTATGTAAAAGCAAAGAATCATTATAGAATTATTTTTCTATTTCATTATTAACATTCTGTCAATTGTACTTTCTGTATTTACATAATTCTTAAGTTGGAAATTAAATTATACATGTTACTCAATTTGAACTTATTCTCTATTAATATTAATTTTGCATGTTGATATTTTTGACACGTTTCTCTACGAGTGTTTCTACGCTTCATAATTGAACAGATAAAAAGAAATTTGATTATTAAATCTCCTAATCAGTTCTAATAATTTAATATTACTATGAATATTCAATCTTACTATAATATTTAAGCCTGTTATTAATTATAGTAAATACGATATTAAAAAATAAGAATATGTATATTTCGACTATCAGAATTTCTTACTACGCTTTCTTCTTTCGAAAATGTTTCATGTAATTATTATTATTTTAATATAGTACAGCGAAATTATAAATTATGCGTTTAGTTATGTTTAATGCTTAATTATTAATTAATTTAAATTTCGAATTAGAATGGATTGAAATGATGGGTTAAGGCAACATAACACATAAGCCATCTGCCAAGGGGGATCCTCCTGAGAAAACTTTCCATAGAAAACGGACCATGTTTAGGTGTTATACACGTGAAGAAAACCCAGAAAATTCCTTATGTCTAGCAATTTTATTTTTATTTTTTAATTTAATTATGCATATTTTAAATTATTTCATAACATTAACAATTCATTTTTCGCATTGGTTCCGTATTTTAATAACACAAATTCGAATTTAAAGAAAGAAATTTGAATTACCGTTTAGAAATCACGGAATCTCGTATTATGTTTGTTAGACTATATAACGCTTTTGATATTGAGTGAGTACTCATTTACATGTTTTAAAATGTTCTAGTTTTCTTTTCATATAAGTATACATATTTCAGGACAAAAATTTAGCCGCATTCACAATTAAGTGAATATATAAATACTTCTTCATTATATGTCTAGTCATACATATGCAAAAATAATTTAGAAAATAATGTTACAAACGTGTTTATTGCTCTTAGAATTTTTTGCGACATTGCCAATAGGCACCATGTGCCTACTGGCAATGTAATAAAATGAAAATAATATTTAATCAGATTAAACATTTGGTTAAATACCAACTTTGTAAAATAAATAATTATTTTTTAAACATTTTAAAATAAGTGAAATGGTTAGATCAGGCATGGCCAACATACGGCCCGCGGGCCAGATCCAGTCCGTGTAATAAATTTATGTGGCCTGCGATCAATCTTTCGATATTAGGTAGTAAAGTCCGAATAGCTCGATGAAAAATTCTGACGCCTAAAAAAAAAGAAAAAAAAGAGGTCAACAACTCAATGTGCGTTTAGAGTTAACCCTCCATTACAAATCTCTTAAGTACAGCGTAGACTGTTGATAAAGCATGATAATGTGAAAAATGTATCTATAATCTCTAGGTACAATTTAGTCTCTATGGGGTGACACCACAATGAGATCTCGCACCACCTCAAAATCTTCCTAGGGCAACCTCTGGTTCGGCCCGTGGAAAAAGTTTTCTTTCCAATTCGGCCCGGGGGCAAAAACTGTTGGCCATTCCTGGGTTAGACTCTATTATTGGAGCCACTCTGCTACTTGAATTCTTGTAAACTTATAACAGGTTTACTGTATGTAAAATGCTATAATTTAACAAAATAATCTCACGAGTTTTGTTATTGATAGAGAGTTTATGAAGTTAATTATAATCAACTTTCATACCTAAAAATAAATTAATGGGTTTATTTAACTTAAATGGGTTTTAAGAAAAGTGTGAATAATTTTGGAAATGGTAATACTGTATAACGCTTATAAAAAAGAAAAAATAATAATAATATTCAAAATATTTTATCTGTTTCTACGTCAGAAAATAACGATAAAAATTATTATTATCATTATTTTATTAATTAATCAGAGTTATATGAAAAAATTATATACAGTACTAACAAATAAAGTTTTAATGTAAGTGTTCACTTTTTTATCTTTCAGAATTTGTTTAGAAGTTCCCGAATGTAAAAGATCTACCTGTGCTGAAAATGAAATATGTATTTCTACTCTTAAAGGTTTTCAGTGCTTACCTCCTAATAAATAATGTTTTGCATTGAAAATTGTGGATCAATTTTCAATGCAAAACCTTGCATTGAAAATTGCAAGGTTATATTCGTTTAAACTTTTTCAAAACTTTAAAAAATAAAAATAGTCTACCTAAAAAAAAATCTTAAATAAAATTCTTGTTTAAACTTTTGTTGGCTTGTTTTATTTATAAAATATTCATATTGAAACTTATTATATCAATATTTCCGTTATTGTTTTAATATTTATATATGCTCTTACTTTATAAGCAGATATAAATTGAGGAGCTTAGGCACATTTCCACATTAGGAAATTTTCGAGAAAAAGAGGATTTATATTTCGATTCATCAGCATTTTAATGTACAGACTTTATTAATATGGTAGTTTTAATATTACCGTATTAATACAACTTACAGGATATGCAATTGAAACGTGAAAGTTTCTTAGAAGATGGATCGATGATGCACAAATCCAAATTTGTTAGTAATTCATTTTTTTGTACTTTGTGGGAAATGCCGGTTTTTTCATTAAGCCCCTCAATTTATACCTGCTTAATCTATAAAATTTTATCAAAATATCTGAAATTTCACCATCTGTTACTTATTTCAAGGATAAAATTCGACACAGATAGACAAATGACACGTGTTTAGAAAGTTTTGATAAAAATCCATAAAATATTCTTTGTCTAATATTCTGAGAAAAATAATATTTGTTCTTTGCTTTAAAAATTTTTAAGCGTCGTTTAATATATTACTGTGTAAAGTAGTGTGAATTAACGCTATTAAGATCGCTAAATTAGCCACTACATGCAAATTCTGGAATACGGTATAAATTTTACTGTTTATTTTTTGCTATTGTATTAAATTTTAATGAAACATTTCAAAAAATACAACTGAAATAATTATTGCGGTTGTTATTGTTAGCAGTCAAAAGTCATCAAAACCTAATTTTTGTGGGCTATAATGGCTAACTTCCATTTAGAAATCCGATTACTAACATCAAATTTCTAAATGGAATTATTCGATTACTAACATCAGAAAATATGCGAAAAAGCCATTTAATACATGTGCAGATTTCTTCTGAAATATGCACACAAAATACATATAGGGCTACA